GATGGTTTAAATTCAAATGGAAATATTGCATACTTGAACAAGGATAACGAATAACATCTCTGTCTTACATCTGGATTATTTGTTACACTGCGCACGTGCCATTCTTAGCTGATCGTACTTAATCAAAATAGATGTTATTTTTGACATTAGAAATTAACTCCATTACCTCAGTATACTGCCAGGAGACAACGACTGCTAGGACCAAGAACAAACCATTCATGTTGTTGAATAGCTGCATGTAAACTCAGGAAACGTTACTCTCTAGTATATATACCTTGGGTATCTTATATCAATCTAATCTTCAGATATATATATACAGATAATATCATTAGACATACGTTGAGAAAGCAGACAACTGTGGAAAAAACATGAATTTTCCCAAACGAGTGAACTTGATGTTCCGATTGCAGAGGCGGGGCCTTGTGTTGCTGAATTGGGCGACACAAAATTGATAAGGTGGGGCCAAGGTTAAATTAAAGGCATGCGTGTCGTTCTTTTTAAATTTTTTTTTCATTTTTACCCCATCATAATATAATATGATTGAAAATTGATTAAAAATTGATAAGGGAATAATTAAGGTCACTTGTTCTCACAGGTAATATTGATCGGAATATTATGTCGTTGCATACTAAGACTGATTGTTTTAGAGGTCAATGAACAAATGGATCATGTATAGGAAGACGAAGATACTATACTTCAAACTATGAGACTCTGACGACAAACAAATTATCTCAGACGTGGAAAAATCAAGGATTTACAGTTCAGAATTTTTCAAGAACTTTTTATAAACATGTTTTGGATTTAAAATGGAACAAATATCAAGGATATAATCTATCTGTATTTTAAAACTTAAACTTTCTGGTTTACAACGGTTTTAAACTTGATAGTTTTTGTGAAAGGAGTAAAAATGAGACATCTTAACAGCTTCACATGACCTCATCATCTATCATAAACAATCTCTACAGGAACAATTCCACAGACAAATGATCTAATGCTATCCAATGGGAAAACATTGAAATCTTTGGATTGATTATGAAAAAACGAGGATTTTCGGTACATATAGCTCCACCCCCTTTCAAATCCCCCAAAAAATGCATAGATCACCCACTGAGAAAAAAAGATATGACTGATTTTTCCGCCATCTATCCGAATTTTAAACAATTTTCAATAAATTTCAAACTCAAGACCACCATCACAGAAAGTCAAATATTTGAAATGAAACGAATCATTCCGTTATTTACACAAAGGATAAACAAAATGAAATAAAAAACCTGTACATTTTCGCTGGCAATTGAACTGATAAATCTTGATTGCAATCAACCACCGTCTCAATTTTAAATTTAGCTTTTTTGTCTTCACTAGCGCCCTCCACCATTTCACTTGCGCCCTATGTGGAGTTATCCCACACTTTCACCAAAAGACAGGAAACTAAGACCAACCTTAAACAGAGGCAAAAAGAACGCAAATTTATGACCTACTTGTACGATAGAACAATTGCTTAGTCAGTTGCTGATAATCTCCCTTTGTAGGATCTATTTCAATTCCTTGAGACACCGCGTGCTATAAGTCACGCCAGGTGATCGTACAAAATGGATGGAGGGGGTGGGATTAGGCGAATTCTGCAAGAAAACTCAACAAACTTGGAAGATTTATTTTTCAAGAGAAAATTTACCATTGAATTGCCAAATGAATAGGCGCAGTGCATGGCAAAATATGTTAGGTCATCTATTTAGGTCGTGTAGACCATTGTTGGCCGATTTATAGCAAAAAAAAACATCGACTTTTGCACGTTGGTGATGATGCGCCTTTTTTAATAGATCTCATATCTTTGAAGAGTATCACTTCAAAAAAATACTAGATGACCTTACATATTTTGCCATGCACTGTGCCTATTCATGTGGCAATTTTTAAGATATGAGATCTATTAAAAAAGGCGCATCATCACCAACGTGCAAAAGTCAATGTTTTTGCTATAAATCGGGCAACAATGGTCTACACGACCTGTAATAAATTGGGATAAGGGACGTTATTATCACAATACAAATGACATTGCTCACTTTTTAAAGTTATTTTCCATGCGTTATACAAAAAAAATAATCGAAATAAATTAATATTGGATGGAGGGGGGGGGGATCACGTGTATGTAAGACATGATAAGACATGCTACTTGAATTTATTCTTATGACTCCAAATTTTCCCATTTTTCATTCTCCAGAGATATAATATCCAGTTTCTTACTGGGGTACTGAGTTTAGATTTTTCAGATACGCAAGTTCTTGTGAATATGTTCCATCGTAAAGACATATTAATCCCCCCTCCATCCAATATTAATTTATTTCGATTATTTTTTGTATAACGCATGGAAACTAACTTTAAAAAGTGAGCAATGTCATTAGTACTGTGATAATAACGTCCCTTATACCTATTTAGGTCGTGTAGACCATTGTTGGCCGATTTATAGCAAAAAAAACATCGACTTTTGCACGTTGGTGATGATGCGCCTTTTTTAATAGATCTCATATCTTTGAAGAGTATCACTTCAAAAAAATACTAGATGACCTTACATATTTTGCCATGCACTGTGCCTATTCATGTGGCAATTTTTAAGATATGAGATCTATTAAAAAAGGCGCATCATCACCAACGTGCAAAAGTCAATGTTTTTGCTATAAATCGGGCAACAATGGTCTACACGACCTGTAATAAATTGGGATAAGGGACGTTATTATCACAATACAAATGACATTGCTCACTTTTTAAAGTTATTTTCCATGCGTTATACAAAAAAAATAATCGAAATAAATTAATATTGGATGGAGGGGGGGGATCACGTGTATGTAAGACATGATAAGACATGCTACTTGAATTTATTCTTATGACTCCAAATTTTCCCATTTTTCATTCTCCAGAGATATAATATCCAGTTTCTTACTGGGGTACTGAGTTTAGTTTTTTCAGATACGCAAGTTCTTGTGAATATGTTCCATCGTAAAGACATATTAATCCCCCCTCCATCCAATATTAATTTATTTCGATTATTTTTTGTATAACGCATGGAAACTAACTTTAAAAAGTGAGCAATGTCATTAGTACTGTGATAATAACGTCCCTTATACCTATTTAGGTCGTGTAGACCATTGTTGGCCGATTTATAGCAAAAAAAAACATCGACTTTTGCACGTTGGTGATGATGCGCCTTTTTTAATAGATCTCATATCTTTGAAGAGTATCACTTCAAAAAAATACTAGATGACCTTACATATTTTGCCATGCACTGTGCCTATTCATGTGGCAATTCAGTTGTAACTTTTCTCTTGAAAAAATAAATCTTCCAAATTTGTTGAGTCATCTTGCAGAAATCGCCTAATCCCCCTCCATCCATTTTGTACGATCACCGGGCGTGTAAGTACAGGCAGCTCAGGGCCTTTCTTATAAAGGGATCAGGAGCTCGACATTAGAATATTTCATAAAGCTATAACGTAATTTTGATGAGCCTGTGACAAATGACATAATCCAACTATCAACAATTAAGCCTATCAGCAGCAATAATAGAAGGGATAAATACTATATAAATTCCCCCATTTGTACCCACAAATCTGAAAGATCGTGCTTCTTTTTTGTTGCATCGCTTTATGTAACATTATTTTAGGCAAGGGAATGTTGATGTTCGGATCATTTTTGACCAACAAGGAACACAAGGTTTATCTCAAAAGATGAAAGAGAGGGAAGGAAGATCGAACAGCGGAGGACTGATGCCGATAATCCGGGGACACGCTAGTTCCAAGAGAAGAAAATTGGATGAAGTTCATACAAAATAAGACCAACCGCGGGGAAGTGATGGGTTTTCTTAGTCAGTACTTTCTGAACAATGTCTCCAAATCTATTTCCAATCAAAATCAGATTTTCATAAATGAGGGTGGATTCCAGGGGTAAATTTTGGCAAAACCATGGTCGCCACTAAAGAGAGCATTACCGAGTACCAACTTCAAACTACAACTGAAGAAAGTGAACGTTTTCTTCAGCTCCATGTTAAGGACACAAAAGAATCAAACATAAAAGTTATTTCAATGATACTGACATTGGACAAATTGGTCTCGCCCCTAGACAAAAATACTCAATATAAAAATGTATTTCTACTCTAACAGAACTTGTTTGAACAACTATGAATGTCCAAAAGATGTTTTTAAGGCATGTTATAAGCAAGGTATGAACATTAAATATCAACATACCTAGTTTCATCCGGAAAGCATCTTCGAAGGTGCCTATTGAGATTAGTTACTTTGGACAGCTGGATGACATCCCGGGGATGACATTCTATCAGTTCGTGGCAGTGTTACGCTTTTCAGCTTTGATGATGATATTTTCTTACAGACTGTTCTGGGTAGCAGAATAGATTTTGATGTAGCCAGTGACGCCATTTATGAAATTTTCGTTATCGAATGTGCAAATACATTTTACAATATAAATATATTTTTCAAATAGGTACGTTTGAATGGTAATATTAAAATGTATTAAGAGTCATCTATTTTGTAAATATGTAAATAATACTAACCCCTTTACTCTTCTGTAATATATGTTCTGTAATGTGATATACATGTATTAATTGTTTTGCTCTCCACTGATTAAACCGAGGAAATAAAGAAACAACATAATGCACAACCGGAAGAGTGCATACTGTGTTGGGATGTTGTAGTTTGCCCCTAATGATTGGATTTTTATTACTAGCTCTAACCTTGAGTTCGTTATTGGTTATATAACAGAATGCAGTTACGTGAAATAGCGAGTTCTGATTGGTTAAAATTGGATACGCCTTTCCTAGTTTTGTTTGAATCTTGAATATTACACGCACTTAGAAATTATAAGATATTTTACCATAAAATATAAATTTTTCAATCTTTAATTAAAACTTCAACACATAAGTGATAAACATATAGTACATATCATGCAGTTTTGCTTTTATTACAGTGTACATATTCATTAGCTAAATTTTATAGGATAATTTATCCAACGATTCCAGCATCCTTGCGAAGTTTTTCCAATAATTCGAGGTTGTTCACTGCAAAACTCTGGTCTGAAAAAGAAACAAAGACTGTTTGTTGTCCGCTTCAGACCAACGTAGAATATGGTCCCGATTAAGGATACTAGCGGTTATAGGTAAACTCTTTCCTGTATAAAAAGGCTGTTTCCCCTTTCTGGCCCAGCTACTATTTGGTTCATGAACCGAGGTTCATTCTCGATAGGGTAAGTACTAATCTATCAGAAAACTTTGGTTACAAACAGAATTTTTAGAGATGGCGGGGAAATTTTCGAGACTATTTAGATCAGAATAATTTTCAGTGACAGGTAGCTTTTCTGTGGTACACTGTCAACTTACACAGAAACTCTACGACGGTATTCCTGAATGGTATTCCTCGATGTCACCGTAATACAATAATTCCGAGAGGACAAATCGTGAACTTCAATTGTACAGTTGTAAACTATAACTACGGTAAATGGTGACTAAGGACTAACTTGATATGTGTTTGAAAAGAAAGTTCGATCAGTGGAACAATTTCTTTTTGTGGAACAAAATTAGTTCTATTATGAATTTACATTATGGAATAGTACTCACGCAGACAGTAACCCTTTATATGTATGTACTCATTACAACATATAATATTCTTCTCTGGGCAGATAGGCACAGGCCCCAATCTGTATCCAATCATCTGGATATTTCTGAATTTTGACCTGGAAGCATTTATATAAAATTTATAAATGGCCAATACACTTAAGTAAAAATCAAAATCTGGGTCTTTTTTCTTAAATAAAGTGAAATAGTTTTTTGGGGAAATCGGGAGAAAACTGCTTTCCGCGGGTCAATGACAACGGAATCTGAATTTCAAATAATTAATAGATACAACGGCACGTGACAAGATGTGACAACGGACTCAAGCGGACCGTTGTCAAATATTACCGTTGTCATCCCGATTTTACAGCACATCCACATGATTCTCGGAGAGAAATGTCTATCATCTTTAACATGAGAAACCTATTAAAGTCGTTTTGCTTTTAAGTAATTGAGTTTCAAACAATCAGTAAAGTAATGTACATGTAAAAAGATATGTATATTGAATAAACAACTGACGCTGATTTTTAAAATGTAAAATAAATGTAGGTTTAACTTACACATATCCCTGCTCCATTTTATAACAACGCACACTGCCTTTTGGGCCACATCTTCTAGACTTTTTAAGGTTGGCTCTCTCAGCGAAGTATTCTCCTTTGTTGTAGTAGAACATTTGTACAGGTCGTGCTGGTTTAGGTATACAACACATATTCTTGCTGAAAAGCATTCGTATACAAATATGTATGCACACACAAGTGCCAATGGGAAAGGACCAAATATTATTACAGAAAACATCAAGAAAAAACATCTAAGAGGACATCATACGTCATAAGAAGGATAAACCACACATCCAAAGCATGTGGCCCTGACAAAATCACAAACAAGATGCTTCAAATATGCTCAAAATCCTTATCAAAACCTATGTCTAAACTATTTAACCAAATACTACTTGATCAAACATTTCCTACAATTTGGAAAAACGGATAGGTATGCCCGATCTGATAAATCTGACCCCGAAAATTATAGGCTGATAACTCTCCTAAATATTCTTTCTCGAGAGAAAATTCTCGAGAAAATTATATATAAGAATATGATATTTCAAATGACAAATAACCATTTACTCTACAACTTACAATCTGGATTTTTAAAGGGACACAGTATGCAAGACCAAATTATTGCAATTACTGAATTTATCCATCAGCGGCTTGAAACAGGTAATAATGTTAAAGGAATCTTCCTAGATATAGCGGCTGCATTTGACACTGTTCCCCACAACTTACTTCTTTATAAACTTTGATCAACCCACTGTAAATATCATCAAATCCTATCTCTCAAACAGAATTTTTTTGTTAACGTCTATGGCAATTTATCTGAACCCTCTGAAAATCACTATGTAAATGCAGGGGTTCCTCAAGGTTCTTTTTTAGGACCACTTCTTTTCTCATTTACATCAATGATTTGCCAGACTTAGTTCAATCACTGTGTTGTATTTATGGGGATGATACATCCATTTTTCGCGAATTTGATCCGGCAAATCCAAATCACTCACTGGCTATTCTTAAAAATGAACTGAATCTGATTTCCAAGTGGTTTGATACCTGGAATTTATTTTTAAAGCCTCATAAAGTGCGGATTTAACATTTATTAAATCTAGGCAAAAAGCTCCCTACCTTGCACCCTTATTTCTTGGAAAGGATGAAATTCCAAAGGTTCGATCTCATAAGCATCTTGGTGTTATTTTTGACCACAAATTAACTTTTCATGACCATGCTAGACATGTGTCAAATAAGTATCAAAATATCGTCCCTCTACTATTAAAAGGTTCTATGTCCTCATGTACCATATTGAGAAGACGGAGGACAAACATTTAGGTTCCTCTATCTTTGTGATACAGTACAGTAGAATTTTTACAAGAATGCTCATGCATTATATTATAAAAATGGTGTATTGGAGAGAAAACTTTCATGTTTAGGCTACATGACCGTGCAAAAAATGTCTGAAAATATTGATTGGTTTATCTTTGCTCTTGATATATCTTTTGAGACACCCTGTAAATGTAAGTAGTGTACTTAGTTACTTTTTTCCAAGGTCGCCCCCTGATCTTCTTACTTGCTCTATCAATTCCTTGTTAGTCATCACCACATTTTTAGCTGAAACAAAACATTCCGTTCAGCTTTGGACGAGTAAACACCAGCAAATGAGATTGGGCACTGGCAGATCCAGAAGCTAACAAGGGGGGGGGGGGCACATTTCAAGTTACGAAAAAGCTTTCCGCGCCTAATTAATTTTTTTGAAAAACTAAGGCCCATTATTGTCTGATAATTTTGGATAAAAAGGACCCAAAAAAGGCCAAGATATGCCTAAAAGACCTATTTTTAAGGCCCTACAAACAAATTTGGAGCCCGCGCCCCATGGTACCCCTGGATCCGCCAGTTTTGAGTCGTGGCAATCTTTCTCAGGTTTGCATTTATGTTCGATTTATTGTGCAGATGGCCACCCACAAGTTCAGGGCTTTCAAAGTGACGACCAAATCATGTATCAAGTATGATCGAGAAGACTATATTCGAATTTATACCTTGTTGTATGTATCCTGACTAAACCTATGGTATGTAACACATTCGAATGTTTCTAAACTAAACAACCAGGACCAATTATCTCTAGGATCAAAATTATAATTATTTAAAATAAACATAATAGGAATGGGTGAGTGTTTACTATACCTATGCAATTGCCATGTACTGCTTCGAACCCGTTACAACACGTAACCTGGTTAGGGGGACATGTTCTGTATTCAGTCCTGTACATTTTTTTCTGGCGGTACAATGTCAATCTCCTACAAGAAAACTATAGGGATGTTGATACATTCAGAAACACAAAAGGGGTCACGAAATTATACTGCTACGTGAAACCTGTAACCCTTTTGCTATGTGTGAACATGTGCTTTCAAATACACTGGTGATCCACTGATTACGCTGATTACCGAAACGGTTCGTTTCGGTAACAAAATGTCGGAACATCGAAGGTACGATTTTTCTTTTTTCCTTATTTCACACGTTGTAGGCAGAATTCCCACGACATTTTTAGTATCAGCATCATATGTTTAAGAAAATGTATAAATTTTCGAACAAATAGTTCAGAAGACAACAGAATCGTCGATTAAATTGCTTGCTTAAGTTACATAAACGGTATTTCGAAAAAAAGTTAATATCTGCACTTTTAACCCAAGCCGTTTATGCAACTTAAGCGAGGAATCGAATCGACGATTATGTTGTCTTCTGAGCTATTTTTCCGCAAACATATACATTTTCTAAAACATATGATACTGATATATACGTTTGTAAGAAAAAACGTCGTGGGATTCTGCCTACAACGCGTGAAATAAGGAAAAAAGAAAAATCGTACCTTCGACGTTCCGACATTTTGTAATCAGCGGTATCAGTGGATCACCAGTGTATTTGAAAGCACATGTTCACACATAGCAAAATATACGTGCATGTGATATACAAAATGTACTGTAGGTGTGGTGTACATTTAACTATATATCACGAGATGGACGAACGGTATGATACTGATATACGTTTGTAAGAAAAAACGTCGTGGGATTCTGCCTACAACGCGTGAAATAAGGAAAAAAGAAAAATCGTACCTTCGACGTTCCTACATTTTGTTACCGAAACGAACCGTTTTGGTAACCAGCGTAATCGAGCGGGTCACCAGTGAATATTCACTTATTAAATCACGTGCACATTTTAAATCTTTGTCATTTTATAGGAAAGCGTAAAAAGAAAGAATATTTTGTTATGAAAAAGATTTCGTTGTACCTATTTAGCTGCTCTGATCTGTAACATCTCACTGATCCCTTTGGGCCACATCTTCTTGACACCCTGCCCATATAATATTGTTGCTGATAATATGACTCAGATACATAATATGGGACTTGTCTTGGTGAAACATCCACTTTGCAGCATTTGTTTTCTTCCTCTAGAAATACACATACACTTTGTCAAGTACAAGATTTAATGTATCAATATTTTTGTTTGGCATAAACTTTTAGAATGGATGTCAAGATTACTAGGCGTAACTTATATAAAATATATCCTTGCTACTTCGCAGTTCAAACATGACAAAAGATTCTGCAAACATCACCCCCCCCCCACCCTAGCATGTGTGTTTAAAGTTGATTATCACCCGGCAACTCCACCATCAATAATTGCATATAGAATTTTCTAGTCCCGGGTGTTTCTTCATCTGTGCATTATTTCCAGTTCCACAAATGCGTATGATAAAAGATTTAACAGTAATAGGTATTAGTAAACTAACTTGTACAATAGCCTTTCAAATTGTAGTAGCCTGGACAGCAAATTTTCTTATTCTGCGGACAAGGACGGGGTGCCATTCTATAGGCCAACTTCTGTCTGTATACGGGTGCGTTTCTGTAATAATCCAAATGAAAGCTTTTTTAAATAAATATCAGCAAATTTGCTCAATCATTTATACTTGTACATATGATTCTAGGGTCAGAGAGATTCTGTCAATATTTTATCATTCTGATGCCCATAGCATCTCTCTCTCTCTCTGTTTCATCGCAGATCTCTCCAGAAGGATAGAGATGGAGAGGGCGTAGCTAACAACGATGATATTTGATGATTCGAAGAAGTCAGTCCTTCTATTCAATCGAACGCTACTGGTAGAACATGCACATGCACACACATGCAACAAAACATTCTATCAAAATCAATTTAATTCTATGAATTCGTCTTATAGCGTGTGACGTGCACGGGACTACAGCCAGGGAGAGGAATAGTTGTTGGTGAATCATAACTCGCCCTCGCACCGCCTTGTGTTAGAAATTTCGATGTTTTTTGTACTGCTTTCAACACAATCCCGTGAAAAAATGTCCTTTTGGTACAAATAATAGTAAACATTTTGAGTTTAGGCCACATTAACATAATCTGTATAATGAGCCTGTTACCTGTATTGTGTCGCATGGGAGGCATCGTGGTAAGCCACGCCCTCTCCATCTCTATCCTTCTGGATCTGCGATGCAACAGAGAGAGATGCTATGAGTATCAGAATGCATGGGAGGTACATCTCCGACTTCCTTTTGTTCCACATCTTCGATATTGCGTAACTATGTCCATTTGGTAAACATACTAGTAAACATTTTGAGTTTAGGCCACATTAACATAATCTGTATAGTCAACTTGTTACCTGTATTGTGTCGCATGGGAGGTACATCTCCGACTTCCTTTTGGTCCACATCTTCGATATTGCGTAACTTGTGCAGAAACTTGTCTTTGTCCGGATACCTCGGTAGTGTAAAACGATTCTTTCTTTGGGGTGTCGTCAATGGAACAACAAACGTGTTTTCTAAAATCAGAAAAATTGATAAAACTGACGCAATGTTACATTTACAAGTACATCTCATATAATGACATAAACTAAACATACTTAGAAAGTTTGGTTTTAATGTATAAAATAAAACTAACAATTATATCTTTAACGAGTTAAATAATGATATATTTTATAACTTGCATCTCAGAACAGGTTTTGACACGGCCAATGGAGTCGTTCGTTATGCATTATATATTTTATTTCAAATGAATAAAAACATTAACCAAAAATTAAAATAATTGTTTATTACGATGCTGGATTGAGAGGGTCGAAATAGCTTGCTACGTCATCCCCTCTGGCCTGGAATAAAATCAAAACGAATAGTTATGAACAACTGTATTCAAACTAACTATATGTTTATTTCATAGATGTCATGCAAAGGCAGTAGTACACATTCGAACATTGAAAACGAATCGTTAAAACAACTTTTTTTCAAGCTTACCTTATTTCATAGATGAGCTATTAACAGCTGTACAGATTTGAACTAAAAACGAATCTTTCTTAAAACTTCTTAAATTATTATACAGTGCCATTCTTATCTGATCGTACTAAATGTTTCTTCATCAAAAAGTACCGTTATTACCTCAGTATACTGCCAGGAGACGATGACTGCTAAAACTAAAAACAAACCATTCATCCTGTTGAATATGTGAGTGAACTTAGTGATTGTTATAAACAGACTTGGGTATATTATATCTATCTTATATTGATGTATAAATGTAGATAATATTATCAGTCATATGTTATGGATAGAAACAAATGTGGAAAGCCGTGTATTTTCCCATACAACAAGTGAACTTGTTCCGATTGCGGGGCGTAGCCATGATTCTAGATAAGGGAAGGCAAAATGAACTGGACGAGTGAAATTGAACAGAGTTGAACAGAGTTCAATTTAAGACTCTGGACTGAATGTACCTAAATCTCGATCTCGACCTTTGATCTTCAAAATTTCAAATTGTCATTTTTTCATCGTTGATCGTTTTAACCTGGTATTGGTTGGTTGGTTGGTTGTTGGTTGGTTGATTGGTTGGTTTGATATTTTTCCGTTCGTTGGTTGGTTGTCTGGCTGGTTAGATGGTTGGTTTGTTGCTTCCTTGCTTGGTTTGACGGAAGCTTGGTTTGTTGCTTGTTTGGTTTATTGGCTTCTTGCTTGGTTGTTTATCTTGTTGCTTGGTTGGTTGGTTGGTTACTTTCTCGGTTGCTTGGTTTTGTGATTGATTGGCCATTTGCTTAGTTGCATGTACGAATGTTTGTTGGTTTGCTTGGTAGGTGGATGGGGAAGTAGGTTAGTTGGTTAATAACTTGTTTGGTTGCTTGGTTGATTGCCTGCTTCAGTAGTTGCTTTTTTGGTTGGTTACTTTCGTGGTTGGTTGGTTACTTCCTTGGTTGCTTGCTTGATTGGGTTCTTGGTTGGCTGCTTGCTCGGTTACTTGCTAACTTGAATGATAACATCTTATGTAAACTATACGGATAAAATAAAATTAATCTTACAGTATGATGGTAAAGATATTTCATTTGCAACTTGGTCTGAAGCATTTACGTGTAAAGTAGATGCAAAGTCCCTAATTGTTTATTGGACTTGGTTACACATAGCTCAAGTAATCTGTACACAGGGTTATGCAAAGCCTCAAAAATGCACGTTCCTTGGACACACATGAGTAGAGTGCGCACTTCACTCATTTGACCCGTGTTACTCAAGTGTTGTCCAGAAATATTTTCCCGGGGGTTTAATTTAAAAAAAAAAGTATTTAACTTTTTCTTAAATATAGTTTTCTAGGATTCTTACGGGCAAAAAGTGATATTAAAACTTCAAAAACCATATGCTTGTCTGGTTTTTCTAAATAAGAGGCCCATCATGAAGTGCCAGTATTTGACAAAAGAGGGCGTGGCACTTCCTCATTTCGCTTAGGAAACGGACACAGTTCCAAAAGAAACGAAAATCGAAGACAGTACACAGCTTTATGCATGAAACGAAAACAGCATAAGTGTTCGATCCTTATGCAAATAATATATATAAAAATTTGAGAAATAGCAAATATATTTTTTGTAAAACCGATACTAATCTCCATAAATCATAGAATATCAGTATTTTATTCTTTATATTAATATAATACTATATTATAGTATATACATGTGTATATTTAAAAAACTCTTTGAATAAAATAAGACACAAACACATATGCATAAAGATACGTATATTTTTCCTTTATAACATATCCATACAAGTACAAACAATTCATTTATCCAACAATTCCGGCGTCCTTGCGCAGTTTTTCCAACAATTCCAGGTTGTTTACTGCAAAACTCTGGTCTAGAAAGAAAATAAAAATTGACTGTTGTCGGGTTTAGACCAACATATTGTTTGTAGTACGTTAAAACCGATTGAAAGAAAAATTGAAATGTTTCTGCAGGAGAGTCTTGGTTTTTCTGTTTAAAATAAGAAGTTACTGAACCAAGCACTGGCTTCTGCTGTGTAAAGGTCTCCTCACAAATAGGCGAATCCATTAAACGCCGCCTAATGAATTGAGTCTTGTAAATTCTGTCTATTGATAACGCAAATATGCAAAACGAAGCACAGCTTTAATTTGCGAAGCCATCTAAGTTTTTTTTTTTTTTATCTAAGCATACTCATGAGAACTGACGTTGAGGGGGTCAGCTATGTGTGAGGAGGCTTTGAATGTACCCTCACGATTGACCAAATTTTGGAGTTTATCTCATGTTTATTTTCCTGCCTCTGCCCTCTTGATTTTTTGTCCAATGGCGATGCTTCAAAATGACGGTAATGTTAGCCTTGCCTCAGTCGATGTCCTTTTATTTATTTTTTAATTTTATTTTTACAGATAATACCGACTTGGGCAAGGCTATAAGGTGCATTAATATAGAGGGTCGAATGACAAACTGTAAATTACTATATTGTAAATTGAAACTTAATGGTTACCACGACCACGACCGAAATAATTATTTGAAACGATATCTCAATCAGTGGAACATATATGACTTCAATACGAAATTACTATGTGTGTTAATAAACATGTACAGTAGTTGTACTCACGCAGACAGTAACCCTTTATATGTATGTACTCATTGCAACATATGATATTCTTCTCTGGACAGATAGGCACAGGCCCCAATCTGTATCCAATCATCTGGATATTTCTGAATTTGGACCTGAAGGTATTTATACAACATTTATGAATGGCCAAAACACCTGCATACATATCAGGGGTATATATAATTGGGGTATATATTATGAAAACAGGAAAAAATCTGAGTTCTTTTTCTGAAAAATCGAAGAAAATTGCTATAAAAAATCGGGGTTTCTAAACATTCAGAACACAGCGAGAAAAAGAAAACATCTAAGAGTACACCAGTAACTATAAGGACAACAAACCCCAATTATCCCCAGATTATAATCTAACGGGAAACGATATCTATTATCATCCACGGCTTTTAATGTACCAACATCAAAATCCAAGACTATTACACCAAGTGACATTTCCCATTAAAATACATGTTGAAGAATAAATTTAAATTGATAACAATACTCATAGAGCAAAAATAGTTGCAGATACTAACTATTTTGAAAGCCCAGACAAAATCCAGTCTCGAAGTCCATAAGCGTTTCAAAGGGACTTCCCATAGTGAGAGATGTCTTTCAGCTAGACTTTCAAAACATATTGGAAAATCGTTTTGTTTTGAGGTAATTAAGATAACAATGTCCAAATGTTATGTAAATTGAATAAACCACTGACCAATCAAGGTATTTTTAAAATTGTAAAATAAATGGAGGTTGAACGTATACATACCTGTATCCCGGCTCCGATCTATAACAACGCTCACTGCCTTTTGGGCCACATCGTGTTGTCTGTAGAAGGTTGACTTTCTGAACGAAGTATTCTCCTTTGTTGTAGTAGTACTTTTGTACAGGACGTGTGGGTTTAGGTATACTGGTCTATATGGAATTCAAGACTGCAAATAGTTGTGTTTCTCGTCTGTTTATTATCATATTAGAATCGTAACAAAGACCCAGATTTTCACAGGCTGGTATCGAAAGATTTGTCAGCTGTGACGGAGCATGCTATTTTTCATAAAAACACTAAGAATGCTTCACGATTTATATTTTAACTCATATGTTTCGTTATATCAAAGATAATTACATACTCCATGCAATGGATATATCATTTACGTGTAACCTTCACTTCTGTTTGAAGTCCAATAACGCTAGGAGTAAAATCTATTGAAAACGGCGCCAGAGTATCAAACTCTAAAATGTATCATTTATTTTTTAACTTTTTAATGGCATGATATAGTGACACGATAATATTAACATATATTTTCAGCATAACTCTGAATGTATTAATGAGATATTTTAAAATGCAATTGGTCTTTTTAATTTAAAAAAAATAATAATATTAATATTTTTTGTCCGCTGTGACGGAGCATTTTCACAGTTCACATTTGCAACTGCTCCGTCACAGCGGACAAAAAAATTAAACATTATTTTTCAAAAAAGAACTAAAAAGACCAAATACATCAACATCTCATTTATACCTTCATAGTTATGCTGAAACCATGTGTAAATATTATCGTGTTACTTTATGGTGCCATTAGAAAGTTAAACAAGAAATGGTACATTTTGAAGTATGATACTCCGGCGCCATTTTCAATAGCTTTTCTTCCCAGCGTAATTGGACTTCAAACAGAAGTGAAAGTTACCCGCA